TCATAAAATAAACATTTACGATTGAGCCCTGTTAATGCTTGGATTTCAAGGTGTTAGTCATTATATTAATCATAATCTGAAAAATTTTGTAATAGATTTGTTTGACATGAAGGAAAATAAGATATTCTAATTCATGCTGTTGATATTATATCCGGTGATGCTCTTGAAAGTGGTCAGCCTGAAGTTATAAATAAACTGATAGCTTGTAGACTAATTTTGGTTTTTAGAAGGGTTGTGAACAGGGTTTAAAATTGGCTTGCACAAGATGCACATGTGCAAGTAGATTTTTTTTTGTGCAAATGAAGTTCTAAATGTATATGCACAAGTGTGCAATTAAATTTGAATAAAGAGCTTGCGCAAAAAATGATGCGCAAGAGAAATTATAAAATTTTATTGCATTAAAATTTAGTTTAAATATAAAATATCGATAGGCTAAAGATATTCTGAAAAGGCCCAAAAGGAAAATGAATGAATATAAAATATGAGCAAGGTTGAGCTTAAATTTTGAGATAATATCCAAAATATTCCAAAAAAGTTAAACAAAAATATAAAATATATCTGGTATAGTAATTTTTAAATTTTTATACCATTAGATCACTTAGAGATAGAGATGGGTTTCATGCGTGTGCATGATTCAGAATTATGCGCATTTTATCCCATCTAAATTTTATATAGGAAAATTAAAGTATATTTAATTTAGGCCAAGGTGTATAATGCCAGGCATAATTAAGAAATAGGAATGCAAAAGTTTTGAAAATTCCGAAAAGAAAATGAATTAACATAAAGATGAGAAGGGTCGGGAAAAAATTTTGGCAAATATCCGATATTTTCCTGAGGGAAAATATAAAATCAAAAAAAATCATATTATGCGATATCATGCGCATTTTATATAACGTGTACATTAATGCGCATTCATGTGCATGTTATTATAAAATGTGCATTTTCCCCATCTCTACTTAGAGACAATAAATAAGTGCATATAAAAATAAATTTTATATGCACATTGTAAACTAGTACTATGGCACAATTGCATTTATGCATGTAAGTTTCGATCTGAATTTTAAACCCTGTTTGGAGGTAATAAATATGTGCATATAAAAAATTTTATACGCTGAGAGGGTGTAGACTTGATCGGAACTGGGAAAATTGGGTGATATGAATATCAATCTACACTAAAACTATCTAACACAACTCTAAACAACTACTAAACTCTATCAACCCTAATGGTGGAAGACACGAAAGACTTGGTCAAGTTATTAGGGCTAAATAGAGCTCTAGACTATGTCACGAAGCTCTAATTCGGAATTTCAGAATTAAACTACTAACTCTATGTGAATTTGAGTAATTGGGGGGGGGGTAATTTGAGCGAAATGTTTAGGTTTTTGAAAATAGACTCTACAAGTCAGACTCAACTGAGTTATACCGACTTTGAGTTATATTTTATTGACTCTCAGTTATGTTTTATTGAAGGTGAGCTCAAGGCTCTTAAATACTAAAGTTTTACAGACTAAAAATCGATTAAATGGATTCCATCGATTCCATGGAGTCCATGGAGTCGATTTGACCATAAATGGTAATCCAGACAGGATAACTGAAAATAGAAAAGATACACTAACGCTAACGCTAATAATAGAATATACAAAAATAGAAAAATACTACATAATAGTAGATAAATAATAACAAATATATGGCACAGCCCAAATTCGGGTTATGCTGCACCAAATTCGACCCTTACAATGCTCATGTGTGCAACTAGTAGTTGGTTTGTGCGACATATCTGCAATTGTGCAAGAAAATTTCAAGCTGAATTTTATACCCTGGTCGTGAATAGACAAAAGACAAGTCGATAGACACAATAGACAGTCTAATGGTCTAATAGTGTCCAATCAAGTCATTAAACAATAGACAATAGATATATAATTTAAAGCAACCTGATTGGCTAATTTAGATTTCATAAACTAGGGCAATAGACTCCAATAGACAATTATACAAATATTTTTAATTATACTATGTCTATTCACAACCCTGTTAAAGGGTTTATTAGAATTAGAGATGGCAGAAAAATGATTTTTATTGATTAAATCAGGTGATGTTTATGATTTAAATATGCCTAAACGTCGCATACAAATATTCAGAACTAAAACGTCACCTGATTTAAACCAATAAAAATCATTTTTCTGCCATCCCTAATTAGAATGTAATTTTTCGACAAATATCTAAAGCTCCTTAACAGCAATCTGTATCATATTATTAGATACCGTTTAAGCTTATTTCAATTGTTTTTTTACTATTGAATGTGTAATTTCAAAAAAATTATGCTCGAAAGAACGAACCCTCGAATAATGGAAGAAACATAAAGAAATTAAAATTTATGACTGGATCTATTAGTGCTAATCAAGAATTCTTGAAGTATTCTTGACGTTCTCCCGTGATCGAATGTCCATTATTGATAATCCAAATGACTCTTCTGATGTGTAAAATTTCAAATTATGTGAATTTTGTTTTCCTGTTTTCTGTGCATTAATAAATATCTGATATTCTAACATGAGAAATACATATATAAAGAAAATCAAGTTTATTAATAAATATCTGATATTCTAACATGAGAAATACATATATAAAGAAAATCAAGTTTATTAATAATTCTTTCTAATCATTTCTTTGTTATTACTGAATTTTGAGAAACCTACGTTAATCTGAAAAAAAATAAATGTTGTTTTATGAATGAAGTTCATTACAACAAACGTTTAAATCATTAAAAATCCAAACATACTACATATTCTAATTTTAAATATTATTAATTTACTGAGTTACTCACAAAATTTTTTATTTACTTTAACATGACGTGAATAATTTGAATATAAAGGTCCACTTTATCAAATTTTTCATAAAGTAGTTTACGTTATACATCAAGATAAAAAAATTAATAATTCTATGAATTTAAATTATATTCTACAAGCTATTGAAATAAACAAGCTGTTGAACAAAATATTTATATTCTTCGAGTTTCATTAAGAATCTTTCTTAGATGCTTCTTTATAATGAAGGCAGGTCCTAAGTAAAACAAAATAATTTTATTACCAAAAAATTAATTACCGCTTTCGTGAAGTAATTCTTCAAGAAAATAACATGTAGATGCGTATTATATAGTGTCCAGACTTGTGCAATTACATTTTCGACACATAAAAATGCGTAATAAATTTATCAATTTGATGTAATTAGTGCGATATTCGTACAAATAGCGACATTCATAATAAAGACCAATGCACATAATATGTAAATTTTTGAGGCATGGCGTAGTGATTTCTTTCAATTATTGTTGATATTATATGACTATATTAAATTTGCGTTGATGTCGCATTGTCAAAATTTCTTATATCGAATAGAAATACAATTTAAATAGCACGAGTCAGGACATTCTAGCGTATTATGTAATCAATGCAAACATTTTAAACAAATGTACTAGTGTTCAAATTTGAAATAGCATTCATTAAATAAACTGTGTATGCTGTGAGCCCGGAAACCGACCTAATTGCTGCGGCCTAAGCATGATTTAAAGATCACGGGGATAAGTGCAATTTATGGAATTTATTGCTTTTATTGCTTTTATTGCTTTTATTGCTTTTATTGCTTTTATTGCTTTTATTACTTTTATTACTTTTATTACTTTTATGGAATTTATGCCACTGATTGTAATACCGAAGCTATCATTATAAATAAAGGCCGTGAAGGCCCCAAGAACAATAGTTCCATTTGCTTACAACTATCGTTTCCCAATAAAAATTATATAAACCTAAGCACCTAAATAATAACCCGCTATACTAAATAATCTTACCCTGATCAATCGCTAAGTGGCATAGTGAAAGACCTTCATCCATTAATTGTCTTGCTCACGTGACTTCGTAAACGTACTTTCCGGTTGATTCTCGACGGACTGAGGACTGCCGTGGTTTTCCAACTATCCCAACGTACCGTGGACAAGTTGTGGTTGTTTTCCGGTTTCCCCAACGGTCTGTGGAAGCTGTGGTTAGATTGTGTTCCGGTTTGAGGTCTTAGTGGAAGAACTCAAGCCGTGGTTCCGTTAGAAATATTGTAAATCGATTATATAAGTGTTAGTGTGCCATATATAAGTTTCAGGAAGAATACCTACGTCTAAAATCACCCACTCGCCAAATATAAACGCCTCTTCGACTAAGCCAAACGTAGGTTACACAAGGCCTCGATTTGATTAGCGACTGACTCGCCGAAATAGGTTGGCAATGCACATAAAGGTTTAAATATTACTAAGGCTATTTGAAATTACCATTTGCTAAATTGAATGCAAATAATTTTTTTCAATAACTACCCATTTAAAATTACAATTTCGTTTAACGTTCTACCCCCTCCACCTCCAAAAGCCCCCTCTAAAATTAAACAGGCTAATCAGAACGTTCATTACTCCTTGAAATTCCAATACGTCACGTGCTCATAAACCAACCAATAATAATGTGATTATTTTTGCGATATAACATAATGTTTGCTTAAATTGATACCCCTCTGTGCTTAAGTTTCAAAATAGAACGTTAAACGAAATTATAACTTCAAACGGCCTAATTATGAAATACGTAACAAGACTTATTGGTCACTATGCGCCCAATAACTATTTATGCTTAAATTTACCTTTAAATCGTAATTCAACAGATAAATCCTTATGAATAGTATAGTTTCATGTATTGTATAACAATCTTAATATTAATGACAAAATTTTTTACATGTACGAGCTATATAGTTAAACTAGTGTAACTGTTTAGATTAATTGTCTAATAAACTTACCCAATCGTACTTCCGACCGTCTTTAATTTTAGTAATTTTACATTTCACAATTTATTTTCATTAAAATACGGAAATAATATAAATTCCGAAATAGCACAAAAAAAGATAAACTAAAGGATTTTTCTCTTAATTTTCTTTTTGCATTTATAAACAAACACTTCTATTTGATCCTTTCTAAAAGAAATAAAATGCAGCCAAACCATTGCGGACCTCATACTGACAACTCTTTATCGGCTACCAAAGATGAAGTTGAACAAAAAGTAGAAGAATTTATCAAACAAGTTGACTTGGAAAAATTGTGCGCATTGACAAATCGTTTCGTACCAGCCAGAATAACAGAAACCAGATCCCTTAGCAAGCCTTACAACAGCTACATGCAATTTAGGCTTGTTGCCCTCCAATACGCTAGACAAGAACTTATTCCGGGCTACAATAATCAAACTATACTTATTAAGGCTCTACCAAGGATTTGGAAAATGATGACCAAAAAACAAAAAAATTATTTTAAAAAATTAGCCAATGAAACCAATGCAGCTCTATTTTCCGATTATAAATATTCACCTCGTCCGAAAAAGTCTACTTTGAAAATAAAAACGGACACAGACAAAATAGCACATAGTAATCCATTTCTTGATTATAAAATTTCACGTCATCTAAAAAAGTCTGCTTTGGAAATAAAAACGAACACGGACAAAGGGGTGGGAATAAGCCAGCAAAATCAGATTTTTACATCAGATCTTTTTAATTTGAATTCCAATTCGAATGAGAGGACATTTGAATTCACAGCCACAAATGATAATTTTTCCAATTTGAATCCTAATTTGAATAAAGAAGATACATTCAATTATTTGGTCACCAATGATAATTCTTACGATCTTGACTCTATTTTTAATGAGATAATCGATTTCGCAGCTATTTATAAGGGCACTGACATTTATTACGTAATATCCATTTACTATAAGGGCTACCCCCTCCCCCCACGTAAGATCTATATTATTGGCCAATTTAGAAATCATATAATTTCTTTGTGTAACGTAAGATATTGATATAATACATGCTCAACCCCCCACCCCCTAAAATATTACGTAATAAATGTCAGAGCCCTAATGATGATGATGATTTCAGCAGAATTAGGTGTTCTGAACCTGTTATCACTATTGGTGATGATTCAAAAGCATTAAATGAAATATCTGAGTTCATATCAGTGCATTCGACTATTTACCAAAAGCCTTCAATTGCCGAATACTCTGAAGCAGAGCAATTATTCTCAAAACTTGAAGAGCAGAAAGATGTCATTGATCGCATACTATACTTGAAAAATGTATATGCCGTGGGTCCTGATTTTCAGAATGATTGTACTACATTATGTATCGCTTGTTGGGTTGCCAAACCTCTTGAAGAATCAGTCATGGAACAGCTTTCTAGAGTGTTGGATAATAAATTCGATGTTGTATACTATTTAGTAGATGTAAACGACAGTCACAACAGTTATGGTGGAGGTCTTAATGAGTCAGTAAATAAAACTAGCAACGTTAATAACGCATCTAGTGATGATAAAACTTCAACTTCAAAGATTACTAAAATTTTGATAAAAATAATAAAAACATTGGTAATTCTAGAAAAGGTGATGATAACAATAATAATGATGATGATGATATCGGCCATAATAGTGATAATGATGGTATTATTGACGCAAAATATAAAAGAATTGAAATTTCATCTGATGCTAAAGTCGAAACTGTGGACAAAAAGTCACAATGTTTCAACATTATTGCCAATCTCTGGGCAAACATAAAACGTGATTCTAAACATAAAGATATGAAAACCTTGGAATTTATGGTATATTTGGAAAATTGTAGCGTGGAAGATCTTCTCAGTAATCAAAGTTCGTGGTTTCATTTGTTACTATCTTGATTCGTTAGACATTAATGTCATTCCAAAAAAAATTACATCTAAATACAATGGCAAATCATCAGAGCCCAATTATGAATCGGCTACGGGATCATTTTCATCTATGCTAATTGATGAACCACTTGAACTCAATTATGAATCACTCAAAATCAATAATGAGTCATCTGAATCGGAGGATGAATTTCCCATGATTATGTTGAAAGAAAGCCACCTACCTTTAGTTCTAATAGTCTTATAAGTATTTCAAAGGTCAAAGAAAATAGCAGGTACCTCAAAGTTTGAAAATGGCATTTGGTTACGATGTGACAGGCAGTCAAAGTTCTACAAAATCAGTAAAGAAATGGGATATAGATGTTACGTATGGTTCGACTAATGGTGTGCAATGGCAATATCGATTTACGGGTGGAGACGTATACAATATTGCAGAACATAGAAAAGCATTCGGATGGATGAACCCCACCGTGGTAATTGGCGAATCACGAATAAAGTAGGAGGTTTTTGCATCATTATTACATAAGTACTTGGTTGTACGAAAAAAAGAAATTTTCTAAGACTTAATAAGACTCCTGAGCTTATAAAACAATGCCCTAAACTTGTTCACAAACTTGAAATTTCCTTTAAGGATATCACGAATTTTAATAATGATTTCACAAAACTAGCAAAAGAGTTACATAGGGGGCGATACCTCACTTTAAAAAAGCCAAATTATATCCGAGAAAAGTGTAATGCCGAGTTCAAATATGAATTAACATTTTAAATGCACATATATAAAAAGAACATCATAATTTTTTTATCAAATATTATGATAAATGCATATTTAATCGGCATAAATCAATAATATTGCTACTGTATATATTAGTATTCACAAACATGCTATTTATTATACATTAATATATGAGCTATTAGAAACTTTTGTTAATAATTATACAGTACCAGTACAATCATATGAAATATCTTAAGTTGCTTCATGTTATACTATACTTGATTGTACTGGTCCCGCGCGATATCGTACTATCCTTATTATTTAATTTTTTTGTTTTTTTTTAAAAAATAAATTACATTGCTCAAAGAGAATGATAGATAAACATTTTGTTAGATTTATTAATCATTATCACTTATTTAGAAAAGATGGTTAATAACTTACCGAGGTTTATTATTATTTTTTTTAATAATGATTGCTACGAAACTTAAAAGTAGAAAATTTTGTAATAAATAATTTTATGAATTGCTTGTGTGAATTAAAAGAAAAAACTCTTTCAAGCTTTTTATTATGCAGCTTAGAGATGGGATTGTTTTCATTTTTAACTCATTTCAATAATGTTGAATATGCATGCGCCACTATGGGCACATAAAAATTTTCCAGACTTAAAATTTCCTAATTCTAAAATTAGAACCTTTTATGCAAGAGAATGCAGACTTCAAAAGTCATTAATACCGGTATTATAAATTTCCAGTGTTGTACAAAATTCCGCATCAAAAATTTTATATTTAGAAATTGAATTGGGTTTATTTTTTATATGTAAAAACAGAACAAATCGGATGTGAAAGTACAATGCAAGTTCAGTGGTTGAAATAAAGCTATCCAACAACTAATAATATCGTTCCTTTAAATAATAATCCATATATACAAAGAGTGATTCAACATAAGAACCAATATCTTTCTTTTTATATGTTGTAACTTTTTCTTAAGTTAGGTCTAAAATTTTTGCTATAATTAATTATAAAATTAATTATAGTTGTTTACATAATCACACCTTAAAATAAAGTGCATACGTACGAAGTTTGGTAAAATTTACTATCCAATATTGGTTAGCTTAAAAACCCTTACCTAAATTTTCTGATTACTTTTTAGGCTTTTTGTTATCATAATAAACCTTATATTTTTTTAGATACATACTAGGAAACAGGTGCTGTTAGTGTCCGAAGCTAATAGTATTAACGATAACACTATGTCAATTTAAACGCTGATTGGATACACACATCACGTGAGCTAAATCCATGACATTATACGTAAGTCCTCGCTACGCTTCGGACAATTAATATTGAAAGGCTAACTAAAGGTATTGGAAATGAGGTAAAGAAAAAAAATCAAAAGGGCGGATGATGTCCTATCTACTATTGAAAACTTTTCATTAATTTTATGAAATAACTAGCATTATTAACTTTATTTTCAAAGGATTTATACCATCTATTGCTAAAATATGAAAAACGATTCTTACCGTTATACAAAAGTTTAACATGCGGAGAAGTAATTATATTATTTATTATTAGTACCATGGGAAAAAAATAATTACGCCAAATTTTATTTAAGGTATTCTTTATTGTTTTTCTATATCTAGTAAATATCTGTATCCTTATTATTCTATTTAGTCTGATGAATTACTTTGATAACTAATTATTATACAGTATCAAAACGAATATAAAAACTAATAAGAAATTCATTGTATCATGAATTAACTAGATTAAGAGAGAGCGAATAAACATTGATGTAAACTATTAAGATATAAAGATTTACATATTGTCTTTGTTCTATTTAAGCTTTATGTCGAATTCACTGATTAATTTCACGTTTATATAGGAATGTGTTAGGATTCGGTTACACGTTTATAAATATTCGCCATTTGCATAGTTCTTCGATTCTGTAAATTAATTTTTATTGGTTAAAAATGTTACCAACTTAACAAAAAAAGCGCCTTCATTATTTTCGTTATTGCATAAAAAATTAAAATTTAAGAGAATACAGAGTGTTTATTTGTCAAAATTTTATCTTTGTTAATTATTATAGTATGTACAATGCATATACTCACGCCATGGTCGTACTAAACATTACAAATATGTCGTACCCTTGATTGGAATCGACACGATTCAGAATTGGGCTACCCTGGATGGGAATCTGGTGATTATTTTGGCAGAATTAAGGCTTTAGAGTTAGCGTTAGTGTTTAGGATTGGAATTAGGGTTTATAATAAATTTTTTTTTAAATTTTGGTTAGCATAATTCGGGCCAAAAATACAAAATTCTCATCGGAACTTCTCCGATTCTGAATCGGGATAGATTCCAAATTCAGGCACATATATGCATATGCATATTTATTTATTGATTTTCATCCCTAATAAAGTAACTCATTTTATCAAATATGAAACATTATTTTCTTTTTGAATTAGGTCTCACCTTAATATTGAAAAAAAAAGTTCTCAACGTTAAAAAATCAAAATGTCGCAAGACTATTATTTAAGTTGTCTGAAAGAAGGCATTAATATTTATCCATACGATTCATTTAGTGATATAAGATTAAGCGGATCCGGTGGTTTTGGAAATGTATATCAAGCAATATATCGAGATGCTGATATGCTTGTCGCTCTTAAATCTAATTCTAATCTCAAGGAAATTGTAAATGAGGTAAAATTTTTAATTATTTTGTTATAATTAATTATAATTCTAGTTTTTTTTTAATAATAATTATTTTTATAATATTTTATGATTAGTTAAGAATTCAGAAAACCGTAGATGTACATGAAAATATTATTCGATTTTTAGGTGTAACTAAAAACGAAGGTAAACTCTAATCTACTATATTAATTTAATATCTCTTATTATGTAATAACTCTTAATTTTTTGTTTAATATTTTGTAATATTTTATTCTAGGTGATAAATATCTATTAGTACTCCAGTGGGCTGACGGTGGAACTCTAAGGAGTTACCTAGAAACGAAATTTATAAACATGAATTGGAACAAAAAATTACAATTTGCCACACAAATTACTAGTGCTGTAAATTATTTACATTCGCGAGGAATTATACATCGTGACATTGTAATATTTAATACTTTCAATATTCTCGATAAATCTAATTTTATTTATAGTTTTTTTTTAAAAAAAATTTTATTAACTAAAGAAAATATGATTTTTGCAACTTTTGTAGCATCCAAATAATATACTCATTCATCAAGAAAATATTAAATTAGCTGACTTTGGTCTCTCTCGATGGATTACTGCAAATTCTCGCTGTGATTACGGTGTCTTACGTTATGTGGATCCACAAGCTTTTATAAAAGCTAGTCGTAATTACAAATTAAATAAGAAATCTGACGTTTATAGTGTAGGGATGCTCATGTGGGAATTATCAAGTGGTAGAATTCCTTTTGGTTCGCTTGATGATTTGGCTATTCAACGAGAAATCTGCTTCAACGGTATTAGGGAAAAAATTGTTGAAGGAACTCCAATCAGCTATTTGGAAATTTATCAAAGTTTGTATGACATGAAAATCATTTAATAATGTTACATAATACAAAAAAAAAAAAAAAATTAACCTATTCCTTTGATTTTAATTATAAAGGGTGCTGGCAAAATGACCCTGACCTACGTCCAACTATGGACCAAATATATGATAGCTTAAAAAAAGTTGACTTGAATTCTCCAGTTTTTCGAATTACGAGTAGTAATATTTCCCTTCCTTGCACTACTGTTCTTCCCATTACAGATTTATTGGATATTGAAATTTGCGTAAATGGATTTTTAACCAATATTATTCATCAAAATAGGGATATTTCAATTCAATATGATGATTCTGCTCTCAATTCACAAGCTAATGAATTATGGAATATTCTTGATAATTCAACAAATATTGGAAAAGATTTTACTCAAATTTCAAAAGAAATAATTGAATATCATAGACAAAAACAAAAAGACATTAAAAATATATTTGATTGGCTAAAACGTAATAGTACAAATACGACGAATCATGATTCAAGTTTACAATGCCTTCTTGGATTTTTTTATTTTATGGGAATTGGAACAAAAAAATGTGAAGAATCAGCTTTCAAATTATTTAATAATGCTGCTAAAAATAATCCATTAGCTATTTTTTATCTTGGTGAATGTTTTAGATGTGGACTTGGTGTTAAGAAAAATCCTGTAAAGGCTATTGTTTTATATGAAAAATCAAAAAATGATTGTGCAAGATCTATGAATACTTTGGGGTTTTGTTGTTTAAATGGAGCTGGTGTTGATAATGATAAACGTAAAGCTGTTGATTACTATAAAAAATCTTATAGTATGGGGTGTATGTCTGCATGTAATAATTTAGGTATATGTTATGAAAATGGTCTAGGGATTGAAAAAAATAAGAAAAAAGCATTTAAATGTTATGAAAAATCTGCGGGTCATGAGATTCCACTTGGACAATATAATCTTGCAAGATGTTATCAAGGTGGAATTGGTGAAAGGAAAAATCATAAATTAGCAATTTGTTGGTATCAAAAAGCGGCAGATAATGGAGTTGAAAGAGCCACAAATAGATTAAAGGAAATGTCGTCATCATCAATATCAAGACCGATGGGATTAGCTAGCTTTTTGGTGCCTACAGTGTCAAATAATTGAAGATTTTTATTTAATTAATTATTTAAATTTCATCATTGTATTATAAATAGAATAATTAAACTGCTAAAATTAGGTCTTTAAAAAAATTGCATTTTCTTTAATTCGACATGTACTGTAGATTGTTTTCATTATACTATTTTCAAAATTTTCGGAATTTCAAAATTAGTTTGTATCTATTTAATTTTAAAATAGCATAGAAAGTCATATCACTTTTAAATTTGTAACCTTTTCACAGTAAAATTTATATAATACTAGATTAAACATCTGGCAAGTAATAAACGTTGCCTCTGATTATTTCAAAATTGTTTGCTTTAGCAAATTTGTTCTCAACTACCATTTCATAAAAAAATAAACTGTTGAATAAACTTTAATCGACAAAAACTTTATAAATTTGAAAGACTTCATACTCCTCTACAGAAAAATATGAAAAGCCATTTATATAAGATGACGCGTTCTAATTGGGGTTTCATAAATTAAATGATGATAGAAATACCATTTCTCATAATGGTTATAAGCATCGATCATATAAAACCATTATGAAAACCAAACAATGTAAGAATTAAAGTAAATTGTAAACTTATTTGGTCGTTTACACGACTTAAAATCGAATTTTTGATAGTACAATTTTTCAATGAAAAAATAACTTCCATCACATTTTTGACTGCCAATTTTTTTATCCCATCCAATAGGATTATACCGACCAAGAATTTCGTAGTGCCTTTAACCTTCAGAACAGCAGCAATATTTTTTGCCTATTATAAAAATTCCAAAAATTATCTTTAGTAAAACCGCCTTTGCTTTCATGAAGAAGTAATTTAAACTCATATGGATTATTTTTCATAAAATACTGTATATCTGCTCTTTTATAAATCCATGGGGGTAATTTCAGCTACAGTTCTTCATTAATAACTGCTGAATATGGTTCACTTGCTCGTGATGGTAATATTTGAGTCAATGTAGTACGTGGTAGAAGAATTTTTGATGATACTGGCTTACTTGGAACAATAAGTCGCTTTTTTTTATTTTCCATAGGCTTTTTTTCAAGAATTTATTTATAAAGATATGCATAATCGTAAATGTCATCTCCAGACATTTGAAAATATCTAATAAGTGGTAAGCAGTTTTGTAAGGTGGTCTTTAAAGACAGAAAATTTTCATGAGTCCAATCTTTAGAATCGGATGGTAAATCTGGATTTTTTGCGATTCCACATTTGTTAATATATTCCCAAATCTTTATTTCTTCAATTTGTAAATCATCCCTCCCAATGAGTGATACTAATTCGTTTTCACGAAACAAAGTAAAATCTTCAGAGTCAAAAGTCTCCTATCATTACAACATTTTTGTTATTCTTGAAAAATATTACTTTTGAAAGTTTTTTTTTGATAAACGTAAATAAGGTATAAACGAAGCCAGTGAGCTTTAATTCAATTAAATAAGCTTCAATATATAGCCAATTCCTCAAGAAGAAATCGCAAGCAATAAACATTAGCTCAAAAATAAATAGATTTTTATATTAAATTAAATAAACGTCAATAATTTAAGATATATATGATTCATTATATCTAATAATATGGTGAAATTATTGAACAGATATGCGATTTATTAATACTAAGGAACAGTTTTAAAAACTGCTGTAAGTCTGGAGCGAATAAATTATCGAATATAATCATGCATCAAAAACGTAACTTTAGTCCGTGTGCGGACATCCTTTTCAAAGTTATGTTCTTAATTTTTATTACTATGATGCACCAACATCGTAACTTATGATGCACTTTACTCGTCCATTATATGTCCTTCGCTACACTCCGGACAGTTATTCTTATTAATTTTTGCCAGATCATTACGAAAGTATAAAGACCGATATCTCAAAATAACTGAATGTACTTTAAAAGTTTCGTGTTCAGAAATTTTCGAACGTTAATGATTTAAGAATTTCAATATAATCATTTAAAAACTTTTTGATAATTTTGTCGTCATCCTATAAATCAGATAAGAATGACGGCAAACAATTAAATATTTAAGCAAAAAGTGACGTATCGGTGTATACGTAATAAAACCTTACGTGGTTATGACTTAATAGGGCCTATGCACTGCCTATGCTATACAAATTTTGCAAGGATGTTTCATAGACAAAATTTTGAGCCAATTTTTTTTTTTTAAAAAAAAAACATTTCGCCTGATCCAGTGTAACATAAAATTTAGAAAAAAAATTTGCTTACAAAACTTGCTGAATTTTTAGTATATACGTGGTTTATACCCCTAAAAGAATTTGTAAATAGAAGTTATGTCGCGCTAAATATTACGTTGTTTAATATCTTAAAATATACATTGCAAAATTTGATATCTTTTTAGTAAATTTATATTAGAAACATACCCAAAAATGTTTTTTCAATATTGTTCGAACACTATTTTATACAGGTCTGTAAAATTAAAATAAAAAAATTTCATCGAATTATCAGGCAGTAGTTAAGATATCATTGTTTAAGTTTCAAAAAAATTTTAAAGCTTCAATTTAATAATTTATTAATAGCCGTTCTAAACTATGAAGCAAATATATCTTGACAACCACCTGATGAAATTTGATAAACTTTTTTTTTTTTTTTGCTTTAATTCTAAAACTTTGTAGAATTAAAATAAAAAATTTTTACCGAATCCTATCAGGTGGTAAGTCAAGATTTAGAACATCCATCAAAATTGAAACTACGATAAATTTAAACTTCAAGCAACAGTTTCTTGATAATTACCAGACTAAATTCAATAAAAAATTTTCATTTTGATTTTACATTCTGTAGAATTAAAATAAAAAAAAATTTATCAAATCCATCAGGTGGTTGTCGAGGTATCTTTGTTTAAAGATAGTCAAGGCTTAGAATATACATCAAAAAGAAGCTGCGGTAATTTTTTTTGAAACTTTAAATAAAGATATCTCCCACGGAATTCAATGAATTTTTTTAGTTTAAAGGTCTGTAAATTTTCATCGAACTCCAGGGTAGTTGTCGAGATAGCTTCGCCTAAAAATGAGGTATGGTTTAGAACGTCTATTAAATCGCTGTGCTTAATTATAACAATTGTCTAAGTACTCTGGCCACGATGAAATTTTCAACTTTGAGCAAAAATATCTCAATAACTATATATTTAAGACAATTAAAAATTTTTATATTTTAATTATAAGAATTAAAATAAAAAAAAGTCAATGATTTTAAATATGTAGTTATTGATATGTTATTGCTCAAAGTTTGAAAAAACTTGACCATGATTTTTTTGATAATTGCCTAACTCTGAGCGATGATATTCCGCGAAAATTTTAAATGGATCAATGGAATTTAAAAAAAAATTTTATCGATTTTAAATAGATAGTTGTTGAGACATTATGCTTAAATTTTTTAAAAAAATTTAGGTGATTATCAAATACAGTAGTCAAGTTCTTTCAAACTTTAAGTTATGATAACTCGATAACTACCTATCTAAAATCGATGACATGTTTTATTTTAATTCTATGGAGTCAAACAATTAGCATTAAAAATTTCATCGAATTTAGATTCTAAAATTTCAAACATTTTAGAAAGATACAGTTAAGTATTTTTAACTATGAGTGATGATATCTCAATAACTGCCTATCTAAAATCGGTGAAAATTTTTTTTATTTAATTATAAAGATTCATAGAATTAAAATAAAAATTTTTTATCGATAGTTATGCGCTTTGGATACATTATGATCTGCATTGTGCATAACTAAGCACTGAACAGGGGCCAATCCGGTAGGGGGTACTATCATTTTTCTATACGTTGATCTACGTTTCTGATTGGCTCATAAATACATATAAGTGAAAATCAGAGAAAAACAAATGACATCACATCTACGCAACTTACTCTCGTCCCTGAGCTGAGAAAAAATCCTCACTATAGCTTATATTGAAAAATACTATATACCTATATCGAGCTGAGGTTTAATAATTCCGGAATTTAAAATCTTTTGCCATATCGAATCTTCACTATGACGAGTGTTTACCATCAAAAGAATTATTAATTACTGCTATTTTTGCCGATAAAAAATCCCCCCGGCTGACGCGTTGACGAGTTAGTAGGTTGTTTTTTTTTTTATAAAAATGTTGCTAGATATTTAGTAGTGCTTTAAGTTCATTACAAATTTGTCATTTTCTGAACACCCATTAACAAACATCAGGCGAGCAACATGAATAAGTAACAAGAAACCTCTGTCATTAAACACGTCAAAACCAGAAGAGATTCCTGTTCTCATGAAGCCTGAAGTTTTGTCTATTAAAATTATTGATAATGAACGCTCTTTCTAATGGTCAAATGAAGTAGTTGTCCGTGAAGAAGATGACAACGAACTTGTTAAAGATAAATCAAAACGCTCAAGAAAGAAAACGAGCTTCTGAAAAATAAAAGAAGCAAAGAACAAGTTGAAGGATAAAAAGATAAACGAAGGGCAATATAATTTTGGGTAGGATCTAAACTATTGTATTATTTTATTATCCTTTTTTTTTTCAAACGAAAAACACATACTTGACAAGCAACGAATTCTAACTTTATTTATAAAAATTTGCACGGAAGGGAAAAGAAAGAAAAAAACTCATTATGCTATTAAACAATTTCCTCCTTTGATTATCGATTTATCTATTATCCTCACGACAAATTTTACCAAATTCGTCTTTTCTAAATGATGTCGTAACGGCCAAGTAAACACATTTAACTCTGCAATTTTCTTTCGGGTCAATGGTGGGTATATTTTATAAATCGCTATTTTCTTTTCTTCATGACTATTTTTACTTATCCACAAACTTGATAAAGATTTTCAGTTTAGTGGTTATATGCGATTTGTCCTCGATTTCTTGTCATTTTTCATTTCGGCAGTTGGGCGGATTTGGGATTGGTTTCGTGATCAAAATTTATTTAAAAAAACTTGGGATAAGCACGACTCACAATCTCACGCATTACGGCGGGCGACGATTATGGGTTTGCCTTTAACGCTTTAAAA